ATAAATTTTCTTTTCTAATAGATACTCTAATAAATATCTTAAAACGTAACTAACTTCATTCTAAACCGCAAATTCATCGTGCAATCTGATACCTGATTGCACTATGCACGAAGCAACGAAATTACACAATGATATCACAAAAATCCCCATAAAAAAGGTAGTAATCTTCACGGATTATATATGTACACCAAAGGATTACGTTTCAACCTAAAACTTGTATCTTTAAATATTCTATAACGTGTAACGTCTATAATGTTTCAAAGTGAACAACTCGTAACTGTTGGGTAGCTAACGTTTACCCGATAAATCGACCGTGAAAATTGTTTCTCTCTTACGTTTCTCCTATTTTCTAAGACTTGCTCGAAATCGTCCGAGAGATTGTCCTGGCCTGTAGAACCTAGCAGTTATACTTATCCCAACAGATCTGACAGCAGTTCTGCAGTTTCCCCACAATGGACCAGCTAACGAGAATTCGGTTAAACGTTCTAGGTCTCCTTTCACCCTCTATTAATTTCACCGAACGATCCTAATTCCAACTTTACGAAAAACATGAGCAAGGTTCCGTTGGAATTCAAGTCCCGGAAGGGCAATAGCCAAGTGAAGAACTGCATAGTTCGTAGGAACTAGGTGCGTTATAAATAAGGATCGATAATTTCACGGTGAATTGGCGCGGATTTATATCGAACCGTTTGAAAAACAAAGTGATTATAGCGACATGTGCACAGACGTGACGAACAATAGGTGGCTTGAAATAGAAATTGAAGCTTCGTGCATGAGAATCGACTTAAAATGCGCAAACACGTTGGAACGCAGTCGAAGTGGCTTGATTAAACGGATCAAGCTATATGTGCTCGTCGTGTTTCGCGATAAATAGACCGAAGGGAACGGAGTATCGTCAGTGGAGATTTACGAAATACTACCGGGAAGTCTGATAAACAAAAAAAAAAAAAAGAAAAAAAACAGGGAAATTCACTTTCCATCAATCGTTTGTTGCACATGGACAGGTCAGAAACTTGTAACCAAAACTGTATTATGAATTTTGTAATGCAAACTGTACGAGTACAGAGAAGTTTTTATTTTTTTTAACAACTATTACGAGCAACTGTTACTATTTTATACTATATAAAGTACTATGTAAAGAGCACGTATTGAGCAATGAATAATTAAAATTATAAATAATGTCTTTTAATTTCTGCTAATAACGATCGTTGTAATTGAGGAAAGAGTAAAAAAGTAATTACAGTTTACAAGGAAGCAATTTTTTCTTTAAATTCACTATACCGCCAAGCACTTCTGGACATGATTTTAGAAGATAATATTCCCTCGTCTTTGAGATTTTCAAAAATATATTACTCGTTGCAATATTAAAATATTGTTTAGCCTCCGCGAAACAACTATCTTCCCACCGTTTACCAAACAAATTATTTTCACCTTCAATTCACGGCCATATTGAAATTCTCTTCTACGTTCAATCGTAAAGTGAAACCAAAAATTATCGACCAGTCGTATTCCCCCCCCCCCCCCCCGCGATCCCGAAACGGTTTTCAATACACGTTCAAGTTCAAAACACATTCGCCGCGGGTATTGAATGCGGTGCACGATCGATATCTAGGTAAGTTACCGGTCTTGTAATACACGTCCCGAGCTTTCGTTTGTTCCCACAGCTCCACGGTTCCACCCTTTTTCTTTTTCGTCTGGCGTTCCAGGCCGGCGCACCACGACCTACCCTCACTTCGTCGGGGCGAAGTCCGACGCCGCTCGAATTATCATCGCGACCTCTCAAAGCCTTTCCAAAATTACTTACGAACTCACGGGCCCGTAAGCCCAGACTGCTCGAAATTAGTTTCCGCGAAAGCTCACTCCCATTAGGTATGTACGCTTCCCAATTCGTTAAGAGGAGACTGTCGCCCCACCCCGACAAGACAACTCGCCCGACAGACCGCCACTTTCTCTCATTCGCCCATTCCCCGGACTCTATACGCCGCCGAAAGCATCGCCGGCTTTCGGAAAAAAGAAACAACCCGTGGCTAAATTTGCTTAATGGTAACGAGGTCAGTGTTCCTCTTTCAACTTTTTTTTTGTTTTTTTCAGAGGGGAGCGGGGGATAAACGGCGCAATTCCGCGTTTCCAGCCAATGGTCTGCAATTCCACTTTTCTACGCGCCACCGCCTCTTTGCTCCCCGTTACATTATTATAAACGCTTTTACGCTTTGAACTGGACCCGCTTCCGTATTTCGCAACGATTCGTTTTACATTTACGTTTGTAAATTTTTGGAATTTCAGCGAATTTCGTCGATCAAGCGGGATTTTCGGTGGCGGATCGGCCGGTGATTGGGTTTTTCGGCGGAGAAATTAGTGGCGGCGGTCGGTGTTTGGTCAGCCAAGAAAGAGGTAGGGGATGATCCGTTACTCGGTCCGGTGACCGGGTTAAAAGGACGTCGCGTCGTTTAAAGAACCATCCAATCGACAAACCAATTTGACTATCGAATAGTCATCCGTTATAGAAAATACGACAGCGTCCACCCCTATTTCGATATTCCGAATATTAAAGCGATCGACTCCTCCGTGTCAACTGGGTCACCGTATCTCGCGGTTGAAAAGTACTACCCGCGCGAGAATTTTTCGAAATTCAAGTGATACCGCGCGCAGATAACGTATACATTGAAATTATCCATCGAATATTCTTTTCGTTATTTCGTTGAACTCTCCAGATACTAATAACCGTGTAGACACGCAGCGAAGAGCATGAACTGTAGCAGTGAAACAATGAAAAATTTAAATTGATACAATTTCTGGAAAGGGAGGAAAGAGGATCATGCAACGATCCACTTGGTCTCATTTTCACAACGCGAAATCGCCATGACAGTCGTGAGTTCGGTTTTCTTTTTTTTTTTTCCAAAGATGACTTTGCATCATGTAGCGGGTGGGAAACTGACGATGCATTTTCCTCGAAAATTGCAAACAGTCAAATGTGCGCGAGAACATTAAAAATATTTTTCTCTTAACTAGATCCACCGTCATTTTGAAAACTGAAGTTTCTCTTTCGACAAGGATCCCTCAAAATTTGTTGCACGATTTTTTTTTCTCTACCGTTTTATCCCAGAGTTAGACGACAAATATTCAAGAAATCCTAACATTCGTTCGCGTAATTCGTTCGCTCCAAGTTCGATAAAACGACGAAGAAAAAAATCGTGCCGTGAATTTTAAAGACTCGTAAAGAGGAAATTTCAATCTTTAGCCGCGAAGAAAATTTGGTTTTTACAAAGGAGTGTCCCACCCGCTAGGCAAAATCATTTTGCGAAGAGAACGCAATTCCCAACTATCGAGACTTCCCGCTTTAAAATGATACACGGCGAGTGGATCGTTGTGCGAGCCCCTCTCGCGAAGTTGTATCAGTTTAAATATGACCGACAATTTTTCACTACCATTCGTACAGTTGTCGCTCTCCGCGATGCAGATAAGATACGCGTAAATTTGAAATTCGTTCGAGAGCCACTATCGAGAGAGTTAATCGCGGCGGTTATTTCTGATCAACGGCTCCAGATTCCAGTCAAGTGTTCGTCCAAATCCCAAAACAACCCCGGCAGAGCGTAGTCTCGGACCGGAGTATCTGAAATCAGCGTCTCCACCGACGCAAATGTAAATTACGGCCGGGCAAGATAGCGTCTGAACGAAACGGCGAAATAGAAAGAAAGTCAGTTTGCGCGCGATTTATAGAGAAAGGGGGGAGGGGGGGAGAGGCGAAGAGGCGAATCGCAAGGGTGCGATTTAACGACGCGGTGGAACGGCGCCAGAGGAGCGAAAGCTATCGATTCGGTTCGATTGCCGAAAAATGGTAATGCGATCGGGGCAGAACGGCGAGAGGCTTTAACCCCCTCCCCCCACCCACTCCTCCGCCCGCAGGAAGGACGTCTCAATTTCGACGCTACGTGCCATTGGAATGCGGAACGAGGCCACTCCATGCCAACAGAATTTCCTTAAAGCAGCTCGCCCTCGTGCGTATGAGCTTGAATTTCACAGTCAGAATGACCGGATGGAAGGAGAATCTAACTCGTCGTGTGTTCTAAAGAATTATTCGATAATCGACTGGTTACTCGAGACTCGGGACTGTTCGATAGTTTCTGTGTTCTTCGATAGAAAACAATTGACTGGTTCGCGTGCTTGTGCGATCACTGAATCACAGTGGATCTTTATGCGTTTACAGGAAATTTCGGAAGTGCAAAAATATTTATTACACAACAAAGAGTATTTGTTGCGACACTTTTTTTTTTGTATGAAATTGTACAGCGAAGATTCAGTGATGTCTGTTGAGGAAATCGATGTTACGCTCGACGTTCCTTCGTTCGAAAATCACCCTCGCTCGTTCAAATTCTTCCGCGTCTCGGATAGTTTTTTTCGCCTGACCTAGAGAACCGACGAGAGGAGACTTTCGAAAGAATTTTCTACTCCACTCCCGCGGAGAGATAACGGATACAATCTCGTCTACGGCGGTGACGTTTCGTGATTCATGAGACCACGGCCAGCCGGCTAAGAACAAGTCGACCGTTGACGCTTCGGAATACATTCGACAATCGTCAGGGAGGGTTAACAGACGCGCGTCTGTGATTCATTGCGGCGGAGTTAAGCCTATTCGCATAATCAGACAGCAACGTATCACCTCTGTCATTAATTACGAGGCCGTGAAACATACATTTATCAAGGTAATTGGTTGGAGAAGCTGCAGAGATTCGGTGGGTAGACACAGGGTTGGCAAATGATTGTGACACGACGACGAATCGAACCTTCCGACCGACTGACAATTATAGCAAAGCACAAAGCATAGTGTTCGGCAATAACCTCTCGACAAAGAGAGAAATTAATTCTCGCGGCAGGCTAACTTCTAGCGTCTTGGGGAAACCTGTCTGCTAAAGAAATTTCGAATTCACGCGGCTAAGGAGACTCGGCGAATCGCCAGCGAATAATTCACGCGGCGAGTTTCAAACTTTAAATATCGCTTGAACTTGGCAAATTCGAATCTACATATTGAAAACTTTGGCAAAGACCCTGGGCCGAGGGTCTCTGCCTTTCTCGATTGCCTCGGTATCACGGATGTTGTATTTTCACGCGGATAAACGCTCGGCGCTGCTTAATATCTCGTGAATAAGCGAGAGGGTTACTCGAATAATTAATTCGAAGCCGTTTCGCAGACGTGCACACGGTGGTGAGAGAAGAAGAGAAAAAGAAGAGATCTTTGCCCAAGATCTTTCGTCCCTCGAACCTCGTGAACGCGGTCGCGCACGCCGCTAAAAGGGACGTAAATATCGGGCAGAGGAAACGGTCCCTGAATTAGACATCGATCTAAATGGATTATCCTCGAGAACACGCTCGTCTCGGTGTATCGAGAGCGCGACGAACGATGCGCTCTCGATACACTTCCCATCACAGGCTGCATACATCCTGCAGAAATGGCTCCCTTTTAACTGCCACTCAATTTAAGACCCTTCGAATGCTACATTTCCCTAATGGAAGCCCGGTTCACCCAATACGGAGGAATGATAACGCTGCGTTAACATAACATTGAACGTTGCCCCCTCCCTTTCCCCCTCCGCCCCCGCGGAACGCAATTTCAAACGTTTTCGCTTGCGGAAACATCGAAACGCGGATACTCCGGCGAATCGTGTCTTCCACTTCGGTATATTGGTCGGAGGGGCGAGCATTATGAGCCAAGGGAAGAAAAAAGAAAGGGAAGAAAACGAAAAAATACAAATATATAAAGGAAGAACGCGACGACTCGAACTGTTTGCTTTTCATTTCGCTCGCCAGTTTTTGTTTACGGATCGGAGACGACGCGTGCCGAGAGTATCGTTGAAATTCACCGAGGGACGAGTGAAAGGAGGAAGGGGGGAGGAGGAGGGGGAGGACGGGGTAAGATTCGCACGACGTGGAGGGCAAGGTAGGTTTCCGCGGGGAAATCGCGCGGAGACTTTGACGACGGGCGCGCCGTGCACACGGGCAACACGACGGGAGAAGGTGGAAAGCCACGAAACGTCGACGACTTAACGTTGAAGATCGATGGGGGAGAGACCTGCAGCAGCCTAACCCTCGCGTTTTATCGAGCTGCGGCACACGTACGTCTCGCGGCCACGGGGAAAGAGAGAGAGAGAGAGAGAAATACGTGGATACGCGGCGACTGACGAGGAACGGCAACCCATCACTGTACGTACAGTACGTACGCGCGGCTACACCGTGAACTTAGCTGCGCTCCACCGCTCGACCCGGCATCGACAGTGTATTCGAAATATTTCGATATATCGCTCGCGGGTTTCTTCCTATCGCGCGTTACTCTGTACTCTTCGAAACTCGCCTCTTCATCGTCTCACGTCGTTCGATCGTGTAAACTGAGCGAGGCACGGAGAGAGAAAGAGAGAGAGACAGAGACAGAGAGAGGAATGAACATAGCCATAGTTTCAACGACAAACAATATCGCGTGTGTCGTGTCGCGAGCTCGTGCAGCAGAAAAACGCGAGAGAGAGAAAGAGAGAGAAGGTGCGTGTTAAATATCGGTTGAAAGCGAGGATTCACGGTGATCACCGGTGCACGGTGAATCGTTATCGGGTAAAATTGATGAATTAATATCGTCGTGACTGACCTTTTTCTCGTTGATCACACCGCAGCGCGATGGAGGAAGGGACGAGGCCGATGTACAACGCGGTGAGAGCTGGCTGGAAAAACAGAGTGTGTACGAGGAGCACCCGGCGAGGACGACGACGACGACGTCCGTACGAGTCTCACGTTTAGACTACGTGCGTCTCTCCGGTCGTCGGTGGCGGTGACAGTGGTGGTGGCGATGATGATGGTGGTGGTGGTGGTGGTGCTGGTGGTGGTGGTGGTGGCGGTGGTGGTGGTGGTGGTGGTGGTGGTGGTGGTGGTGGTGGTGGCGGTGGTAGTGGCGATAGTGGCGTCGGCGTCGACGGCGTCGGGTGCCGGTGGTGGTGGTAGTTGCTTTCTATCCCCCAAGCGGGAAAAAGAAGGGAGGAGAGGAAGAGAAAGACGAGGAAGGACCGATGAGATCGAAGTCTCGTGGCAAACGGTCGTGGACTGAGTGAAGCCGAGTTCCGACTGAGCGGCTGAGTTGCTGTGGCGGCGACGCTCGCGCCGCGCCGCGGAGGGTTGCCGAATTAACATCGATCCATCGAAAATGGTATGAGGTAAGCTTCGCGAACAAGCGCGAAGAGTGAGCTACGCGAGGCTAGAGAGAGAGAAAGAGAGAAAGAGAGAGGGTGAGAGAGTGAGAGAGAGAATGAGCGTAGGGTGCACCACCAACCCTATCGCCAGGGATTCGGGAGGAGAAGGGAGAGGGAGAGCGACGAGTCGAGTCGTGAAGAGGGCGGGGCGTACGCGTACCACACGTTTCTATCTCTACGTCTATACCTATGCCTTCCTACTCCTTGTTTTCCTTCTTTCTCCCTTCGCCCCGTTGCGCGCCACCTTCTCACTCCTTGTTCCTTATTTACCACCCTTTCTTTCGCTCCGGCGCCGCAACGTTATCCGTGTACTTCTATATTCCCCTGCACCTTGATATTTGCCGCTTCCCGTGCTTCTCCCATCTTTTTTCCCTACCTTTTCCGTTAACTTCCTAGCCCTTCCCCTCTTCGCCGTCGGTGTCCTTTTTCGGTTTGTTGCCGAATTCTTTAACCCACTGGCATACTAATCGTCGTTCGTATCGGACTGCGTGTGGCTCGTGTGTTTCACGAAGCTTTCCTTTAGTCTGCAATCCGTTGTTTGCGACGTAGTAAGGCAATTAATGAGACACTTGAATTAATCAAGATAATTCAATATCGTTAAGTATTATGTCGGATTCTTTTCAATCCTTTTCTCGTCCTTTTGACCTCTCGCGCTAGTAACTGATTCGCGGACCATAAACGGGCGACCAAACCGTATACAACTCGTTGGTATGACATCGCTGGATAGATATTATTGAACAGTAGTAAATCTATTATTTGTTTTGCCTGGGTAAACTGAGGAAATATTGCAATTTTGGTACAAAAAACTCTCGACGTGCGTTAGAGGTTAACCACTTGCGCTGGCAACTGATTGCGGACCATAACGAGTGACCAAACCGTGTACAATAATTCGTCGCTTTCTTTTTAAAACTCGTCGGCATAATAGAAGTTATACCGGATAGAAACGATTGAGAAGTAATAAATTTATTATTTGTTTTGCCTGGGTTATACTGAAATATACTTAAAACTGAGAAAACATTGCAATCTTGGTACAAAAAACTCTCGACGTGCGTGGCACGTCATTCCAGTGCAAGAGGTTAACCGCTTGCGCTGGCAACTGATTGCGGACCATAACGAGCGACCAAACCGTATACAATAATCCGTCGCTTTCTTTTTCTTTTTGAACTCGTCGGTACGATATCACTGGATAGAAGTTATTAATAAATTTATCATTTGCTTTGCCTGTTTTGTTTTACTTAAATATACTTAAAACTGAGAAAATATTACAATTTTGGGATGAAAAAATTCCAGCGCAAGTTAAATTCTTTAAATATCATTGCGTCTGGTAATATTTTCTTCTTTTAATTTTCGTTTATACATGTGTATGTTCTTCCTCTTCGATCGTCGCGTATCTTTCCATTCCTATCTGGGCTTTCTTCGATTTCTTCGAGAACAAGTGCCCGCCCCAACAACGTGCAGGTGCGGCGAAGGTTCGACACTCGTCGACCAGAGTCTCTCGTTAGACACGGCGAAGAGAACTCTTGTTCCGTCGGCGTGAAACTGCAAAAATCGGAGAATATAGGTCGAAGTATAATGAGAGAATTTAGGCAAGCGCTTTGCGTCCCTCTTCATCGCCAGGTCAGGATGAGAAATTTCATTGTTACCGTAAATGTGTTGTCCATAAAAAGTCGTATAAATCGTCCGTACGGAAAACGCAACATTACCAGCCAGCCCGCCGCTATGAACTCATTCGACACACCGCCGTACATGTTACGTATTGCGTTTTATGAATCGATAAAAGAAGCTGTGGTTATTTCGTTCATCTGGCTCGGATACCCAGAATACAGTATACGTGCTTCGTTTGCAGTTCGAGCGATCGAAGTTCGCTGGTACGCAGCGACAATAAAAGACATTCGCATATATCGCCTTGGGATCCATTAAGTAAACTAAGCAACTTCCCTACGAGCTGTCATATACATGCACAACGTTTTTAGCTGAGCGCGCTCCGTGGAAAAATTCAAATCTGGGTCAACATTATTCTGAATAGAAAAACTGACAGAGAAATGATAACGTATATAGGTAGAAGTTAGCGTAATAATATTTTAAGGCCTGCTTTCGGGTTCTATTCGCGTTGTTTGCACGTTGCACAGAAACACATGGGTATACGGCCGTACTAAACGGGCCGCGCAAACATTCTCGCCTTTTCAGTCTTGCTTCTTCTGCAAAAATGCGTATGTGCGCGAGTAATTATCGTCGTGCTTTAAATTTTCACTTTAAATACGTATACGTACGATATACATATATATACACATGTATACAGATCGACGAGTGGCATTATCGTTAAAATTTCACGACAGTCTAGAATAACTGCTTAGTAAAGAAACCATTGGATATATCGAGGTAATGGCGTACTGCAGGCTTTATCTCCGCGTTGTCGGATGAATCCGACGGGTGATCCGACGATAAATCGATGGCTCTCAAAGGTGAGCCAAACACGGTACTTTGAAATTCACCCGGTAAATACGAACCCGCCTCCGGAAACGAGGCACCGTACGAAATAACGACGAGCGTGACGAGTCAAAGGCGCCAAACAGATTGGTTACAACAACGTGTTACAACGCATTTCCGTTGGATTTGAATTACAATCACCTGGCGAAATAAGAGGACGAAAGAGCTTCGGCGGAGACGATCGGTCAAACTGGCTTCGAGGCAAAATCGCCCCGCCGAGGCAAATAGTCGCTCGAAGCTAAAGTGACCGCGGTAAAATTAAACGTGTCAGCAACAGCGTAAACAACCAGGATAGGCAAACGTCAGATGCATCTTGGAGAACGGCAGAAATCCTTACGCGAGAGCATGAAACGAGGGCCGGCTTCGTGACAGCGGAGCCGGAAATTACGTAATTTCCTTACATTCTGCCTGGAGTTGAACGCTTTATACGAGACACGCCGCCGCCTTGGAATATCGAATTTCTAATCGAATCAATAATTACGAAATGCCGCGTAAACTGAAAACGCTTCTTGCTTGAAGAAGTTTTCTCCTCGCCTTCCGCGAACCTTCGCCCTTTGCTTCTGACAAGTGAGAACTCGTAGAATTTGTCAATTATTTCTAACTCTGTTACGTTTTAAAAGAAAAAGAAGAAGAAGAAAATGATTTTTATCACAGAGTCGAGGTAAAATAGAAGGAAAAAAAAAAAAAAAGAGAGAAGAGTCCGTCGCCTGGCGATGGGAAAAATGAGAGAAATGAAAAAAAAGTGCGAAGTGTATATCACAAAGTGGGTATGTTCGTATGGATTCTCGGTGTTCCACGGATGCCCGCCAGACTTTGGGTCTCCAGGAGATGCCACTGATATCCACGTCCTGAGACTCGCGAAGTGCAGATCCATGTTAGTGGTATAATGCTCCGCTATAAGTCTCGGAATTATGTGGACCGTGATAAGCATGCCAAAAAGCGGGGAAACACGATTATCTTTCAGGTATTCAGATGGGATTATGTCGTTATTGCCTTCATACTTTTCGTGTCAAGCGTTGCACGAATAAACCCGAATTGAACCGGCGTTGTCTTAACGCTTTGGCTAACGCACTTTGGCGTGAAAGTTTCGAAATCGCTAATTAATCGTCGTTAATATCAGAATGTCAGTTTATTTCATTGTAACAAGATGTTGAGCTGATTTTCTGAAAGTTCTGAATTTATGATTTGTAAGTTTGATAATCGACAGTCTGCACGAGCAATATATGTTTTATCAGCTATTATTTTTATTGCTAGATTTTCCATTCGTTACCATTTGGTTTGCGCGAATGTCGTTAATACTATAACTCGACAAACCGAGTCTCAGAATATTTCCGATCTAAAAACCTCCTTCGACGGCGTTTAAATCGCAGGATTTGCGGTCGTCGATATATAACTATTAATCCATTATTCTCCGTAACTCTTGCAAATAACTTCCAAGTTTTAATCGTTATCTTGCATGAATACGTATTTCTAGCCGGCTGATCGCTTCCCCGAAAATCTGGGTTAATTATCGCGTTTTAAAGAAGATCCAGCGAGCGCGTTCTAAAATTTATCCATCGGCATCCACCGCAGAGTAAACGATAAAACGAATTGTCAGAGTTATTCGTTCGCCGTTCGTCTTCTAATGAGACGAGATCTGAGAGGCGAAGTTTAGTTAACGTAAAGCAAGATCGTAGAACGACGAAATCACAGATCCGTCGTGTATCGTATGTACGTTTTCAAAATGCGACTCGACGTAGGTAGGTGTGTAGATATATGTGTATGTGTGTGTGTGTGTGTGTGTGGGCTAAAGATATCCCCTTTAAACGTAGTTCAAAGTGAGCGGTAATTTATTGATCCACGCGACGTGTTCAATCCGCTTTCAGAGATTAAGCGAAGGTTCACGTAACAAAGAGGTTAACGCCGTGTTCTCTCTCTCTCTCTCTCTTTTGTCCTGAATTTCCTATTTTCCAGTTGGCCCCGCTGCCGATGTGTTTTTCCCACTCCCGGTGAAACGTTGATGATGACTCTTCTTTGATCGCGTCGCGTCGTCGCCAAGGGGGTCGAAGAGAAATCGACAGCCAGGTGGGACACAATCGGCGCTCCGCAGAAATTTCACACCTGCCGGAAGGTCGAGTGTGGACACACACACACACACACACACACACACACACATACACACACGTCGAGCAGTTTCGACGTTCTTCGCTGAGCATCGACGTGCAAACGGACGTAAGTAAATTGCAAACAAGCTTTGACTATCAAGTGTAAGAAACGAAATTCAACTCCTACGTTCAATCCGACTGCAAACCGAGGTTGTAGAGGTGCGCGCCGCCAGTCTGGAGACTGTTCGTCAAGCTGGAAAATTACACTCGGCTTTCCCTCGCGTTCAATTCATTAACGATTTACACCGTTACGTTGTTTCACGTTCGACTAACGAGCCACGCTGAATTTTCACCCGCGTTCCTCCCCGAGCATCGCGTCGATGTGTGTTTGTCTTTA